TGACATTCCATGGCCCCAGGGCCAGTCTCCGTGTCCAGAGATCGGGTCGTCAGGGCCCCTGCCTTCAACTGCTGCCCAATCCACTGTGCACCGGCCCCTTATGGATCCTCCTGCAGGTGGTGGGCCCCCACGTTGCTCGTTCAGGCTAAGCCCGGCCAGGCCCCCTGAGGGGAGGCCCGGCCACCAGGCACTCGCATTCGAGCGCCAACCCCGGGCCTGACTGCACCATACCAGGCAACATCACGGTCCTTGATTTTAATCTATTCATATAGGCCTTTTGAACCACTCTTAGACCCGTCACCCAGGACCTGTTTGCCTTGGGAGACCCTACCAGGGACATATAGCCCCCGACAACATAGCTCCTAGGATCACTCGGGTTCAAGGAGGGGTCAGAAGTGGGATTTGAACCCACGCCTCTAGGAGAGACTGCAACCTGAATGCAGCGCCTTAGACCACTCAGCCATTCTGACACCATGAAAACAAAATAACCAGATGAAAAGCTAAAAAAAAAATTGTAAAAAAAACCAAAACAAAACAAAACAAAAAATACTCATGGTTTTACACAAATTCTCTCAGTGTAGCTCACAATGTAACTTCTGCTTTTACATACACTGCCCCTTAAATGACTTAAATGAATTTTTACTGACAATACTGACATAAATGTTAGTGCTGATAATATTAGTGCATATTTCGCATTTGCAGTACTTCAAATAGCAGGGAAAACGCAAACATTATTGTTAATACTAGCCTCTTTACCCATACTATTAGTTGGTGGCGGTAATGCACCAATTTGTTGTTTGCCAACTGCCGTTAAACCTCAGAAGAAGAAGAAGGAGGAGGCGAAGAAGAAGAAGAAGGAAAAAGTAGCTGACGTTTGGATTTTTTTTCTGCGTATATTTGGACCGTTAGTAAGCAGAGCTTTGAAATGTTAACACCCAAAAACATAAAACCGACAAAACAGTTTGAAGCTAAGTAAGAGTGTAAACTGCGCTGAGTGATAGTTGAATAGCTCTTGTGGGCGCGTGCTCTGGTTCTTATGGCTAGTTGAATAAGGGGCAGCGAGAGTAAACTTGATACAGAAGAAGGGAAGGAGAAAGATAACGAGGAGGAGCTGAGGAAGGAGCTGAGCTATGTGGAAAAACGTCTGACAACGGGAGCAGTACAGCTATTTTTATACTTCGGAGAAAGTAGTATGTGGATATTTTAACTTTTAAAAACTTTCAACAACAGTTAACAATTTGGTGTGATAGCCTTTAGTATATATTGTTTGACATTTCCGTAACATTCCTAAATCTAATGCTTTAACTAAGGAAATCATTAACACTGAACCTGGATTCTTATGTTTTGGAATTTCCGAATGTTGTGTCGAATTTTTATGCCCTGATCCTAACCATAATACAGTACCTATAAAGTATCTATCTATACAACGTTTAGATGGAAGTTTTAAGATATATACAGAGGTATATTTTTAAGGTATTGCACTGAGGGTTGTTGTTCTGTTAAACAGTCATGGGTTTAGTGTTCAACAGTGTAATGGCCCTGGGGAAGAAACTGTCCTTGTGTCAGGTAGCCAGGAAAACATCTTGTTTTATTTTATTTCCTGCTTTGACACAATTATAATGTTATATTTTGCACTGCAAACTTTGGAAAGTGTGTAATATATAGAAGTTCCTCTTCCAACTTTAATCTGTTGCTTCCATCGCTGCAGAGATGGAGGGAGAAAAGAAAAGACAGAGGCAGCGGTGGGAGGAGAAAGAGAGTAACGAGGCAGAGGATGACAAGAGGAGTAATGATGATGCTGACAATGAAGAGGAGGAAGATGAAGATTCAGAGGGCATGTCACTGGTCTGGCAGGACGGCTGCAATGAGGACAATATGGGCCTTCCGATCATGCACTGGGAGGCACTGAGCCTGCGTATTGCTGACCTGGAGAAGCAAGAAGAGGAGAAGAAGGCAAAGGTTAGAGAACACACTCTGTGAGAGGGGTGTATGAGGTTCAGGAGAAAGTACTTCACAATTCTTGGTGCGGGTTAGAGTACATGCCCTCATAGAGAAAGCAGGTAAACGAAGAACTCTGTTATCCCTGAGTTGAGGAGAACTCTGAGTGATCAGTTCCAGAAACACTGATGAGTTTAACTCTGAGTCAGTTTGTGTGGACACTTAAGTCAGTCTCCCATTTTGAACGGTTGCCAGTTGCTGAGTTTTATCTCTTTAAAAAAAAAATTTTAAATAGTAGCCACATTAAATACTGACCAAGTAAAGTTGGTTTGACATATAACTTTAAAAAAAATTGAATTCAAGATTAAATTGGGGGGGAAAGTTAAATTTATAATTGAATTAGATAAAGATGGATCTAAATCTCTCACTCCTGCATTTAGGTGTTTTGTAAATATGGTTCATGGAAAACAATCCCTAAAAATATCTGTCAAAAATTAGCAAAAGAGGTCCCTGCCATTTTGGGGCGACAAGATTTAATTGTAATTTTTTTTTCTTCAAACCCATTAAACATCTTTTAGAACAGCACAGTGATATGTCAAGCACTTTTTCTGACCCAGTATAACAGTTACTGGTAGGCTGGGAGGACACAGACAGTGCCTGCAGCAGCCATGTGCTGGCACCTGTCACCTGTATAAAGCTACACTAACCTCAGCAACAACAGGCTATTACTGTACAGTCATAAATTACTGAAGGAAACAGAGTGGGGCAGTGAAATGTTTGTCTAACACATTGGGCATGGTTTTTAGATTGGAGATTCTCTCGAGCGAGACAGAGCTCCAGTGAGCTGGACAGAGGAGAGAAGGAGGAGAGCTGAGAGCTGGGAGGACGGAGAAGATGCCTGCAACAGCCACGTGCTGGCACTCACCTCCCGGTACACACACTAAAGAGTCTTATGACCTGTTCAGATTTACCCCTCCTGTCAGCCAGTGTCAGCTGGGCAGTGCTTAATTTGTAAATTATGAGGTCCCAGAATGTCACTTGGTTATGGACCTGGCATGTCAGTGTGGGGAGAGGATGTCCCGGAATGAAAATATTTACTCAGTGATTGTGCATTTGAGTAGTTTACATCTTCAGGGAGTAGCTTGGAGGCAAAATAATATTTGTTGTGTGTTTGTAAGGATGCACATTTTCAATTTTTTTTCTTACAGATAGCCAAGGACCGACAAGATGAAAATGTTGTATCACATGCAACTGTAAACACAGTAAAACAGCTTAATAAAGTAGCTTCTGTGTGCTACTTGACCTGGGGCAGCTCACGTTACTTTAGGCATGTGTGATATCGTATTAGATCCTGGCCATGAATGTTACCCCCTTCAAAGTACACTCTCATAGCCTATATTTCTTTGAAAACTGCAGGTACAGCAAATACCTTAATTGTGCAACTAAACCTTAATTGTGCAACTTCTGTGCCCTGAGAGGTTTCACACATTTTGTTTTGAATTTTAACTTGTATTCGTGTTTGAATTGTTTATTTTATGGTCGATATGACTAAATGATTTTTGATTATTTGGGACCACCTAAACTTAAATTTTTGTTGTTTCTGGGCAAGCTCAGCTCTATTTTGGTGGAGTTCTTTGTCACCGCCCCCTGCTGGCTCACTTTGGTAGCAAATTTGTATGTCATTTCACATGAGCAAGTGTCGATAAACCAGTGGTAGAAAGTACATTTACTCAAGAACTGTACTTAAGTACAATTTTGAGGTATCTGTACTAATATTTTCTGCTACTTCATGCTTTGACTTGACTACATTTATGAAGAATATATTGTACTTTTTACTCCACTCCATTTATTTAATAACATTAGTTACTAGGTACTTTTCAGAATCAGATTAAAAAATTATAATCAGAAGACTTTATTGATCTCTAGTAAAAATTCACAGGCCACCTAGTAGTAATTAATATGAATAGGGATCACACTCAGTAGGAAGATTTCACTTTATTCTGTGAGAAGACAATGTTTTTGGCTGTCCGGCCTTCAGCAGTGCCACAGTCTTACAGTACAGCTGCTTATTTAAACATTACATGCAGGTGGATCCTCTTGTGATAATTGGTCTGCACCTGGTTAAGTAACCATGACTGAAACAAGCTGGGTCTGTAGGACACAGGCAAAAGTGACAATGGGTAATTCTGAAATTGCCTACTATGTAGTAGGCTAAAATGTGTATGTGAGACAAGTAGTATGTCCAAATTCTTTGTATGGAAAAATATGAATGCAAGTAGTGCCTGGATGACCTACATAACATCGTAGTATGGAAGCAGTGGACAGTATGCTATCCCATCGTCCCACAGCGGTGGCAGGGCAGGCTCAAATTTGCTCAAAGTTGTTATAATTGTTGTCCTGGGACTGTTCTTATGGCACTTCATTACATTTAAATTTTTTAGGCAAAAAAAAAAAAACCATTGAGTTTTGAATATATGGTCAGTTTGTCCAAGTAATGTAAATTTAGAAATTTCCAACACTGTTTTTGAAGATGTGATGACCCTGTAGCCATAGTGGTCCTATTGTCACATTCAGTAACCTACGTGATAAGATGTACAATATGGTGGTGCACGTAATATACAGTGGTGTGAAAAAGTATTTGCCCCCTTACTGATTTCTTATCTTTTTGCATGTTTGTCACACTGTAATGTTTCAGATCGTCAAACAAATTTATATATTAGTCAAAGATAACACAAGTAAACACATCATGCAGTTTTTAAATGAAGGTTTTTATTATTAAGGGAAAACAAAATCCAAAACTACATTGCCCTGTGTGAACAAGTGTCAAAACATAACTTAACTCTGGTTTATCGCACCTCAGTTCAATTTCTCTAGCCACACCCAGGCCTGATTACTGCCACACCTGTTCGCAATCAAGAAATCACTTAAATAGGACCTGCCTGACAAAGTGAAGTAGACCAAAAGATCCTCAAAAGCTAGACATCATGCCGAGATCCAAAGAAATTCAAAACCAAATGAGAAAGAGAATAATTGAGCTCTATCAGTTTGGAAAAGGTTATAAAGCCATTTCTAAAGCTTTGGGACTGCAGCGAACCACAGTGAGAGCCATTATCCACAAATGGCGAAAACATGGAACAGTGGAGAACCTTCCCAGGAGTGGCCGGCCGACCAAAATTACCCCAAGAGCGCAGCGACAACTCATCCAAGAGGTCACAAAAGACCCCACAACAACATCCAAAGAACTGCAGGCCTCACTTGCCTCAGTTAAGGTGAGTGTTCATGACTCCACCATAAGAAAGAGACTGGGCAAAAATGGTTTGCATGGCAGAGTTCCAAGACGAAAACCACTGCTGAGCAAAAAGAACATAAAGGCTCGTCTCAGTTTTGCCAGAAAACATCTTGATGATCCCCAAGACTTTTGGGATAATACTCTGTGGACAGACGAGACAAAAGTTGAACTTTTTGGAAGGTGTGTGTCCCATTATGTGTGGCGTAAAAGTAACACCGCATTTCAGAAAAAGAACATCATACCAACAGTAAAATATGGTGGTGGTAGTGTGATGGTCTGGGGCTGTTTTGCTGCTTCAGGCCCTGGAAGACATGCTGTGATAAGTGGAACCATGAATTCTGCTGTGTACCAAAATATCCTGAAGGAGAATGTCCGGCCATCCGTTTGTGACCTCAAGCTGAAGCGAACTTGGGTTCTGCAGCAGGACAATGATCCAAAGCACACCAGCAAGTCCACTTCTGAATGGCTGAAGGAAAAACAAAATGAAGACTTTGGAGTGGCCTAGTCAAAGTCCTGACCTGAATCCAATTGAGATGGTGTGGCATGACCTTAAAAAGGCAGTTCATGCCCGAAAACCCTCCAATGTGGCTGGCTTACAACAATTCTGCAAAGATGAGTGGGCCAAAATTCCTCCACAGCGCTGTGGCAGACTCATGGCAAGTTATCGAAAACGCTTGATTGCAGTTGTTGCTGCTAAGGGTGGCCCAACCAGTTATTAGGTTTAGGGGGCAAACACTTATTCACACAGAGCTTTGTAGTTTTGGATTTTGTTTTCCCTTAATAATAAAAACCTTCATTTAAAAACTGCATGATGTGTTTACTTGTGTTATCTTTGACTAATATTTAAATTTGTTTGATGATCTGAAACATTACAGTGTGACAAACATGCAAAAAGATAAGAAATCAGTAAGGGGGCAAATACTTTTTCACACCACTGTAACACTTAGGCTGAAGGCTTTTGTCACCATAATTTTACCCTCTGGTAAGTGAGCAGTTACAGCTATGCTAATACTACTATGAATGAATGAAGAACAAGCAACTGGTGTTGTCATATGTAAACATCTGGGTGAATCAGGGGCAAGATGACTATGTAGTAGTATATCCAAAGTCGTGCTTACTAGATGGTGTAGTGGCTGCAGTGCCTACTGCATTTTCATTAATAGTAGGCAGCATTCGACAGAAGAAAGTATGTACATGTGTAGTAGGCAATTTTGGACGCACCTGATATTTTCAGTCTCAAGCGAAGCCCAGCAGTCAGCTTTCCAACTTATGCATCAAAAGGCTCCAGTGTCATACATGTATATGAAACTAACTAGCTACAACATAGCAGGTGGTGTTGACTTAACACTCACAGGTGCAGGCACAATAGCTGTAATGGCTGCTCCTGAATAATTTCTTTCACCTCTTTGTGCAATCAGCCCTTGTTTCTTCAACAGAACTGCACACACACAGTTGCTTGCTCAGGCCTCTCTTTTTTTTTGCAAACTTTGTGTTGAATATTTAATGTTAAATAGATAAAATGGCCATTTTGTCCATTCATTTACATTCAGTAACCAAGTGAAACCCTGCTTTTAGAACATTTTACAAAATCAAAAATCTCTCAGGCCTTTACACTTTTGCTAAATGACCACCACCACACTGTAAACCTAGCACATTAAGTCTGTTTGGCTGCTGTGTAATCAACAGTCTGCAGACACAGATGAATCTCCAGCTGTGCTTCATCAACATCAGTGAAAGTGAGGAGGAGGAGGGGGAGAGGGAGGAAGAAACCAACAAGAAGGAAAGCTCCAACACTCGGGTAACTACCCCTAATACAAAATCCTGACAATAGAGTACAACAATTTAGATTAGGTGAACTGAAACTGTTATATCTGTGGTGTCACTGGGTGATTGCAAAAGGAAAAAATACAAAGAGTAAGAAATATCAACAATCACTTCCTCCTCTTCTCCTTGTCCTTCCCTGATGTTGAAGAGAGGGGCTGTTCAGGTTTGTAAGACTCCTCAGCCTGCTTCCAAGCCAGAGAGAACAACATCTAGAGGTTTCAGGAATACTCTGAGGAATCTACGAGACAGACTGAGATCAGACTACAAAACAACAGTGAGTCTAATTTTGTGAAGTCATGGATAACACACTATCACATTGTATCGATGCAGCCCTTTCTTTGTCTTGTCCTCTCAAATACAGTTTATCACAGCTCTCCTCATGTCTCCTCCCATCTCTTCTCAGACTGCAGCTCATAGTGATCCTGTAGTCCAGAAGAGACATTTTCAGCGCAGTGATTTACAGAGATTCAGTATTAAAGAGCTAAATGTTCTTTGTACTTCTCTCAGCCAGACCATACAAGGTAAACAACACACTAATTACATCCAACTGTAAACCTAATCCATATGTTTATTTTGCTTTATTATCTCAGATGCCACCCACTTAAAACAGCATTTTTATTTATTTATTTATTTATTTCACATCTGTCCATGTTAGACCTGAGTTCAGAGCTAGTGGGTCGCCTCCAGGTCCGGGACCAGCTAAGGACAGAGCAGGATGCCATGTTGCTGGAGGTCCAGGATCTCACATCAGTGTGAACATTCCAAACACTCCCAGTTAAAGTTTACCTATTGAGCAATCAAAAGTGGTTGTATCACAGCTGTTACAATCTGTAAGCATTGTTGTGAATCACATGGTGTCACAGTGGACTCCATAAACATCTCAGTCTAACCACACAATCACTGTGAAGACTTTCACTCCTAGAAAGGACTTTGAGTTGCACAATTTTTAATGTTGTTGTCTGTATGGTATTATTTTTAAGGGAGATTTGTCTCACTAAGAGACGCTGTCCACCAACCATGGTTTTAAAATGACAGAACCAGCAGAAAGCCAGATGTCACAGGCATGGTGACGGTGAGTGAGCCTGATGGTACAGTAAACTGAGCTGGACACAAGATCCATGCAGTGGATGGCAGCTGTAAAGGAAAGAACTGACTCTTTTTTTATACTTTTGTTTGTTTACAAAAAACAGGGCACCTTGAAGGAGTTACATATGCTAAAAATGTCTGTTGAAACAAAGAAAAAGGCTAGAAATTGAAGTTGTTTACACAAAATTGCCAGTGCACCACCAAGCTGTTATTTCTTTAGTTTTCTTTACATTTCAACAATTCATCATACACATTGGTTGAAGCTAATAAACGGTTTAGTATGTTCTTTGGTGGTTTATATCATGTAAAAATAGCAGACATTATTAATATTTAGCCTTTTAAAATCTGATATTAGAAAAGAATTAGAATCAATATTATAACAAATTTAACAATTTGTAAAGTGGATTTCTCTCTTATTCCCCCTGGAAAAATTCTTTAATAAATGTTGTGTTTTAAAAGCTTAAATCAGCAATATAAAAGGGACTGCTGTTAAGAAGCTGCTAATTGTGTCAACCGAACAATCTTTGTTTGGTTTCAAGTCTAGTTTTGTTCTTTTCAGAAAATGTATTTTTTGTATTTATGCATGTCTTTTATTCATTTTAAGTAAAGTTGATAAGGAACTAAATGTGCTCTGATGCCCTTTAAATGATGTACAATTTTACTCTTCTTCACCAGTGTGCTTTTTTAAAGAAATGTAAGGAATGTTATTTTTTTTATCTGTTTTTTTTTTTTTGTGGCAGACTTGGTACATTTTTGATGTTTTCCATTTCCTAAATACCTTTTAAAAACAATGCTGAGCTATTGTCTACAGTAGTTCAGTATAATAAACGTACAGAACACTAACTGTCGGTTCAAAAGTGTTATGTCACACTCACCACTCTGCTGAGACCACTATTTTAAAATACAAAATAATGCTTTCATTCAAACAGAATTTGTTTTCTACTTTGCCTTTTGTGTGTGTGTATGTGTGTGTGTCACTGTTAACCTACCTTCAGCCTCAGCTTATTCCAAGGTTGGCCATTGGTATGAAACATCTTCAGGAAGTATTTCATTCACAGTAGATTAACACCAAATTAAACAATGGCTAAGTAGAAGTTATTTGAAGAATTCAAGTTTGCTAAAATGACCTTGTGAACTGTTGCACACCTGGACTTTTTGGAGACATGTACTTATTTGAATACCCACTTTTCTTTGTGAATGTACAGTTAGCGCATAAAGGTACCAGTAATGTGGACCAAATGGGTGGTATTTGTGTGGATGCTGAGTCAGCAGCATCTACACTATGTTATTCAAGTTAGGTTTCACCTAAAGACTTAAAACAACACACACTGTTGGTACATAACAGCTGATAGTCAGCTTAGTGTGTAAGAAAATAAGCAATGAAAGGGACATTCTAACTTGAAATAAGCAATGAAAGGGACATTCTAACACTGCTATATCAACTTCCACAATGAATATATAACAAATAAATATGAAAGTAACTGGATGGATTTTGGTCTCATGTTTCTGGTTTAAAGTGCAGAGAGTTAGATGAAAAGATTAATACCTTTTTCACGTATGTATTCTTTAAATGTGAAGCTAAAACCAGCAGCCTGTTAGCTTAGCTTGATTGGTGAGTTTAAAAGGTGTCACTTAGTGGATATTGTTGCCTTAGGATAGAGCTGGGCAAACTGTTTACCGTGTTTAGTCTTTGTGCTAAGCTAACTGGCTGCTAGCTGTGTGTTTAATGTACAGACAGTGGTAGTGATTTATTTAAAAATATTTAAAGTTAAGAACTATAGTATACTGTATGTGTTTTGCACACCAGAGGCATGTTCCCAAAAGATTGCAGAATGACAGCCAACTAGTAAATTTCAAAAGCTAATTATTGAGATTTAAACATTTGAGAAGGGCGGCACAGTGGGCCAGTGGTTAGCACTGTTGCCTGACAGTGAGAAGGTTCTGGGTCTGAACCTGTCGGTCGACCTGCCCCTTCCTGTATGGACTTTGCCTGATCTCCCTGTGCCTGTGTGGGTTTCCTTCCCAAAATGTTTAGTTGTACAAATTTGACCACAAAATTAATACTTGTATATATTATGTGTATCACTACTCCTCTGATTTGAAAGTAAGCTATTCTGATGTTTCATTCACATTTTGTTTGGAATAATTTGTCTTAGGTCAACAAGGCAAATTTACAAGTAACCAGGTGATGGAGTGTTGTTGAAGTCATTTCACCTCAAACACCCAGTTGTCCAAGGTGAACCTGTGGAACATGCATTTAAAAAATGCCTTTCAATTTCTCTTAGATCACATCCACAATTAACTTTATTGTCAGAACTTCCCACAGCACATTACAGTGACATCTAGTCTGAAATAATGACAGCCAATACTAAAATCAGCCAACAGTAATTTTATATTTATAAATTATTAACACACATCAAAGACATATTTAACAAGTCAGTAAAGATGTAGTTAATAATTTCAATATATAGGCAGTAGAGGAAGAAAGTAGGAACAAAGAGAGTGAGCTAGGAGTTGCATCTTGTCACACGCGTGTCTCGGAGCTACACTCGTAGAAATGGAGGTGAACATGTTCTGTCAGAGACAAATGACATCGAAAACTGAGAGAGACTTCAAATTGTTGGATGTAAGAGGTTAGTTCAGTGGGGGTGTGTAGTCTAAAGTACAGGCTTGGGGGCTAGACTGACAACACTCTAATGCCTCCTGTTATTAAAACCACCTACTAGAACTGAGATAGAGCTCGAACCAGTTTAATCTCATTGAACATTGTAAAGTAATTTCCTGGGTAGAGAGAGATAGAGACAAACTGACAGAGAGAGAAGCAGTGTGAAGAAGAAGGGCCTCTTAGCACAGTCTGTCTTTCTTTTTTTCCAAAAGCAGATAATTGTAGGCCATACTCTGGTTTGGGAAGCAAAAGGACATGAGATGTAGTGATTAGGAGAGAGAGAGCATGTGTGAAGGAAGCCCCATCCGTATGGATAACTCACTCTCACTTCCTCTCCCTCCTTTATACTCTGTTTATGTCACTTTCCCATTTTGTCTCTGTCAGTCAGGTCAAACTGAACTCAGAACTGCAATGTCTTTCCCACAAAATGCTACTGCTGCTGCTTTATTTGACATACTACTATAGGAAGTAATAAATATCAATAATAAGCATCTAATAGTTTGTCTAATTAAACATGGGAATAGCAGTAGTACTTAATGATTTAATTAGTAACAGTTGAAGTAATTGTATTATACAATTTCTCCAGATGAACACCAAGTGCCTGTGAGCAAGGCATAAATTGCTATAGTGCAGTAAGTGAAACTGTACATAGGGACAGACACAGTACACAACACACCACAGTTTCTTTTTGATGTTTTTGCCCAACTCAGGCGTGCTTGAGGAGGGTCTCTTGTGTCTAAATATACTGTATGTCCTTTAAATCACACATAAACCAAGTCTGTAGAACTGCCTTTATTCACCTGCACCATATCGCCAAAATCAGGAGCATCCTGTCTCAAAGTGATGCTGGAAAACTGGTCCATGCATTTGTTACTTCCAGGCTGGACTACTGTAACTCTTTACTATCAGGATGTCCCAATAATTCCATAAAAAGCCTCCAGTTAATCCAAAATGCTGCAGCCAGAGTACTGACAGGAACTAGCATGAGAGATCATATCTCTCCCATATTAGCTTCTCTCCACTGGCTCCCTGAAAAATCCAGAATAGAATTTAAAATCCTTCTCTTAACATACAAAGTCCCATCATATCTTAAAGACCTCGTAGAGCCTTATCACCCTAACAGAGCACTTCGCTCTCAGAGTGCAGGTTTACTTGTGGTTCCTAGAGTCCACAGAAGTAGAATGAGAGGCAGAGCCTTTAGCTATCAAGCTCCTCTCCTATGGAACCAACTCCCAGTCTCAGTTTTAGAGGCAGACACCCTCTCTACCTTTAAGATTAGACTTAAGACTTTCCTTTTTGATACAGCTTATAGTTAGGGCTGGATCAGGTGACCCTGAGCCTTCCCTTAGTTATGCTGCTATAGGCCTAGGCTGCTGGGGGTCCTCCCCATTCTCTCAGAGGTTTCTTAAATGGAGGTTTTTCCTCCCCTTTGTCACCAAGCCCTTGCTCAAGGGGGATTTGTTGGGTTTTCTTCTAATAATAATAATAATTATACTAAGTTCTAGACCTTACTTTGTAACGTGTCCTGAGATGACCTTTGTTGTGATTTGGTGCTATACAAATAAAATTGAATTTAATTGAATTATTATTGCGAGATCTCGTGGCACAAGATCTAAATGGATCTAAATGAAAAGCAAATTGATTGTCCTGTATCAATTAGGTTTGCAGTGAGGCACACACACACACACACTGTGTCTGTGCAGTAGCAAACTTTGGATTGTTGCACTTTGCATTCTCTGATCAAGCAGAACAGATTTCAAGCTGCTAGCCACTGTACAGCATATAGTGTATGTGTATGTGTGTTACCAGCACTATACTATTTGCACAAACACTGCCAGCTCATTCTTTGCTGTAATGGCAGGAGTTTCAATGTCCACTGAGCATTCACATCAGATTCATTCTTTTTTCACTCTTCAGTACTGAAATGAATCCAACATTTTGTGTCATTGTGTCACTACCATTAAAAACAGCTGTTCAGACAGCTAAGGTTCCAGGAAGGCAGGAGCAGAAGCTTAATGCTGTCTGACATCACCAGGCTCAACCTCCTCTTTAAATGCACAGACACTGATTGCATGGTCCTATATCATGCCATTAAACACCACTGTATCATTATCATCATTACCCTCCGCCCAGATGTGTGGAAGTTTTGTGTTCAGCATGTAGCCACGTTTGTTTACATACAGTTATATGAATTTCAGTCATACAGAGAATAATACACAAAAATGTGGATGTTTGTGTCTTCTTCAAGATTAATCACCTGACTTTCATTTCAAATGATTCTCACTGTAATAAAAAAAAATCACTCTTGCCTGATCTTCCTTTCTTGAACAAAAGAGCGCAGAATAGAATAGAATAACCTGAGTCACAGCACGGCTGGCTATTTTCATCCTGTTGATCATTTCTCTCTCTGCTGTCTGGCAACAGTGTGGTGCTCATAGTTTCCATCCTCAGTGCATCTGCTCTGTGTGTGTCAGGACGAGGGGGATGGGTTTGATATTCTTTGCATGTTGAGAAACAGACAAAGTAAATGCAACTGAGAGACATAGTGTGTTAAGGCATCCCCCCCAGTCACTTCTCCACCACAGCACCACAACATAACTTACCAGTTAACTATGTGTAGACTTCTAAAACGTGAACTGTATCAGAAGGACAGAGGAGCAAGAGAGAATTCACGGCTTAGAACAAAGTTCCTTGATTACAATTTACAGTGACTGGATTTGGTCCACTTCAGTGTGTAACATATGGCAAGAATAAAAAATGAGCCAGAGTCCCTGTCCTAGTATCCTCATTTGCAGTCTTGAGCAGTTAATTACAAAAAACAGAGTTAATCCCTGAGACCCTATTCAGGAATAAGCGGTATAGACAATGAATGGATGGAAAGAGTTAATGCAGTTTTAATTCACTTACAATCAATCTTTAGACTAAATTGTGATGCTGTGAAATAATAATGTTTCCCTATGGATTGAAGAATTATTTAATGAGTCAGACTAATATTTATTTAATTATAGAAAAGAGAGTTAATTCTCTTTTAATTCAGTTACACACACACACTGTGTTTTCATTCCTTGTGGGGACTTTACATTGGCTTACATTCATTTTCTGTAGACTTATCATAACCTTAACCATAACCACTACTTGTCTAACCCTAATCCTAGCACCTAGCCTTTAACCATGTTGCCACCCTAAAATTCAGTGATTTCCTTATGGCCTCTGGTCTCCACGAGGATGGCCAAGTCCCCACAATGTGAGTGTGTTAACAGGTTTCGGTCCCCTTAATGTAAGTAATATAATAACAGTGACCAGTTAATCAAAAATGCTGCGGCAAGGGGAAAGACAGGAACTAGCAAGAAAGATCATCTCTCTCCTATATTAGCTTCTCTCCTCTGGCTCCCTGAAAAATCCAGAATAGAATTTAAAATCCTTCTCTTAACATACAAAGTCCCATCGTATCTTAAAGACCTCGTAGAGCCTTATCATCCTAACAGAGCACTTTGCTCTCAGAGTGCAGGTTTACTTGTGGTTCCTAGAGTCCACAGAAGTAGAATGGGAGGCAGAGCCTTTAGCTATCAAGCTCCTCTCCTGTGGAACCAAGTCAAGAGGCAGACACCCTCTCTACCTTTAAGACTAGACTTAAGACTTTCCTTTTTGATACAGCTTATAGTTAGGGCTGGATCAGGTGACCCTGAGCCTTCCCTTAGTTATGCTGCTATAGGCCTAGACTGCTG